CCTTCCCCTTCCCCTTCCCCTTCCCCTCTTTGTTTCTGTGTTTTGATGAGTTTTTCTTTAAACTCTGAGCTGTGGAGCAACTTCCTTTTTTTTTTATTTAATAGCCTCTCAAAGCCCGGCCTTGCTCACCCACCGCCTCCAAAGCGGCCCCTACCCCAACGCTCCTACTCCTTAAAGACGGAGGGAGACAGGCAGTTGTGTTGCTGCTGGGCTGGTTTCGCTGCTCAGCTGCCTTCGAGTAAACCCCTTCCATTAATGCTCGATCAGTTCCTTGTGCCAGCCCTGTGAATAATGGATGAGAGCCATAATTAAGTGGCCATGTAACTAACCTAAATACAAAATGCTTTGCAGCGTGTGACGCTGCCCCAAAGAGAGATGTTTGCTTGTTGTTCCTTTCTTTCTGCCAGAACTTACAGGCTTGGGGAGAGGAGGGGAAAAACTCAAAGCCGAAGTGCTGAAAGACCCCAAGGGCCTGTTGCATGGTCTTGTCACCCTCTTCCTTGGGCCTCGGAGGGCAAAGTGGCTCTTAAACCTCTTCTGGAGCATTTTAAAATTGCCACAAGAGCTGCGTTGCTTGTTGAATTCGGTCTAATCACCTGTCCCAGCTCTTAGGAAGAGCATGAGCCGGGCTTAAGGACAAATTCAGCCTCTTGGCTTGTCTCAAACAACAGCTGAACTTTCAACCTCCCACCACTTATTAAAATTAAAGTGGAAAACTTAATCTGATTGTCAGCAGCCCTGGCTGGCACCTCCTGCTCCTTCTCGACGGCAGGGTTGTGTTTCGCAGCACCGACGTCACGGGGAGCCAGCGCGTGGTTGCGGGCAGGGCAGGGACGGGGGAATTACTATTCTGAAGGGACGGGCCAGGCCCTTGCTGGAGGTCGGGGGGAATCAGCCAACGTCCTGCTCGGGCTGTCAGTGCTGCCTCCTCTTCAGGTGGGGTTCCCTGCTCCTCTGAGGGGTAGTTGGATCCCTCTGCCGAAGGGTGAAGGTGACCTGGTCCTTCCTCTCTTCCAGGAAGAGAGGGAGAAGCGGCGCCTGGAGCAGCTGGAGCGTAAGAAGGAGCTGCAGCGCCTGCTGGAGGAGGAAGACTCGAAGCTGAAAGGAAAGTCACCCAAGCAGGTCACTCCGGGCAAAGTCACCAGAGCCCAGATCGAGGAGACGATCAGGAAAGACCAACAGCAGAAGGAGAATGCGGACACAGGTTTGGTGAAACCACAGAAAGGCCCTGACAGCCACGGGGGGCTGGGGAGCAGGAAGGGAGGGCTCTTCCTCTTCCACCCACTGTCGCTGAAGGACAAGGGGTTCGGAAGGCAAAGGCTGCCTGCAGCAATCCCCTGCGGCCTGCTTTGCTGTGTCTGTGACCCACACCCAAATGGGGGGAAAAAACCAAACCCTCCTGTCACCTTGAGGCGGAGAGAGCAGGCAGCTTCTTTCCCAGGACTGGGGCTGAACTCTTGAGTTTTCAGAGTGCTTTGGAAAACCCTTTTCTGAGGGTTTTGTGCAAGTCTGGATTTGATGTTAATGGCTTTCCCTCTCCCTGTGCAGTGGAGAAGGAGAAGACTCACTTGGAGGTGCCCTTGGAGGAGAACATCAACAGAAGGGTGCTGGAGGAAGGGTCGGTGGAGGCCAGGACGATTGAGGATGCCATCGCTGCCCTCAGGTACGCAGCCGTGGCGTAGCCGTGCTCTCCTTGGAAGGTGGCGATTTCCTTACAAGAAATCTTGCAGATCCTCCCTCACCCAGAACTGGCTGCTTTTTCCACTTTGTGACTCGACAGCAAGAGCAGGACACGACCCTGCCCTGTTGTTCTGGGGAGAATATTTGAAGCGGGTCACGGGGTTTTTTGCTTTATCGCCCGGGTTCTTCTGTCTGAGCTGGCGGGGCTCAGAGCGGGGCGGGGGTCGGGGCTGCAGGGAGGGGTCCCTGACGTGTGTCTCCCTCCCAACTCCCTCAGCGTTGCCAACGATCCAGACCGGCACCCCGAGCGCCGGATGAAAGCCGCCTTCACAGCCTTTGAAGAGGTCAATCTGCCCCGCCTGAAGCAAGAGAACCCCAACATGCGCCTGTCCCAGCTCAAGCAGCTCCTCAAGAAGGAGTGGATGAAGTCTCCAGAAAACCCCATGAACCAGAGGCACAAAGCTTACAACAGCCAAAAGTAGAACTAGAGCTGATCGTCCCCTCAACCCCGGACAGTGGGCTGGAGCCCCAGGGCTCTGCTCCCGTAAAACCAGGAGACACAAGGATCCTCCTCTCCTTTTGTTTCCCTCCCCTGATCCCACTTTCTGTCTCTCTCTGTCCTTGAATTCAAGATAAGCACGAGGCCACGGCTCGCCTGGGGACCCCTCAGCGTCCCGCCGCCCTCACTGATGGCCTGTCCCCCCCCTCGACACACCCTCCCCACGGGCAGCTGGTGCAGAGTGACCCGCACAGACTAACACTACCTTCACGCTTCCCAGTTTGGTTATTATCTTCCCCAAAAAGCTCCTAACTGGCTTCCAGACCTTCAGCAGGGGCAGCCCAAGTCCCAAGGTCGGGACCCCCACGCCGGTTGGCCTCCATGCGTTAACCCACCCGCAGCCAGGACCTGAGCCCAGCTGCCTTCACCCCGGCCTCTGCCCTGCCTGCATTTCTGCCACCATCACGAGGAAGGCACCTGCCCTCTCTTGCTCCTGTCGCCCTCGGTGCTGGCGAAGAGATTTCAGACTGGGATCTGGTGGCCCTGTTGCCGGCCACCTCCCTCCCCTCGGTCTCACCCGGCGAGGAGGAACCACACCGGGAGCGGAAGCTCTGTCAGCGCCGCATCATGAGGAAGAGGGAAAAATAACCTTCTGTCTTGGAGGGGGAGTGGGAGCCGTAACGCAGCACCGCGCGGTTCCTGCCTCTGCCGCGCAGCACATGGCTGCCAGACTTCTCTGAGTGACTCCTGGTGGCCTTGCTGGTGGGACGGGGTGGAGCTGCAGCCCAGTGCCACCCAAGAAACGGCTCCAAGAAGGGAAAAACGCCGCTTCTCCCACCGCTTCTTCCCCTGCCTGCTCCTGGGCTTGGGTGAGAAAGTGTCCTGTGGGCCCGTGGAAGGGGACGTGGGACTGTCAGCTCAGCAGCTTCCCCCACC